AATAATTTTTAAAAAATAAAAAATATTATTAATATGTATTTTAGTGTGAAAAATTATTTGAAAAATAACTATAACTATACTTTAATAAGTTTTGTTTACATCAAACTATGGGTAAAATAAAAAAAATTAACGATTATATATTAGCAAACATGTAGTTTACCAAAAGAAAAATACTAGTTTATAAATTTTTTTCTCTCAAAAAGGAAAACAGCATCTTAAATCAATAAAATCATTTGAAAAATACTATTTATTATTCATTTGAGATTGTAGAAGTGGTTATATTTTAAAAATATATTAAAATAATATTTTTTAAATTAATTTATTACATATATTAAAATAATTTAAAATTATATAAAAATATTAATTTTAAAAAGAAGTCATTAATTTTTTTAATAAAACAAACCGCAGAGGAGCGCAAATGCCCTCAAATACCACTCCAGGTTTAACAGCTAAAAATTTTGAAAAATAAGAGAGAGAGAGAGAGAGAGGGGTTGGTAAAAGAGGCAGAAAGCTGAAACCAGAAAGGAGAGTAAAAGGCCCTGTGCACTTTGTTGCGCAAACACAACACAACATCAAGTGAAGTAGCTTTCTTGCTTGCAAGCTTCAATAAAACTGATTAGGAACTAAGGATCCTCCACTGTCCACAACCCACTCTTTCTCTTTCCTTTCCAAAACCCTTCTTGTGAAGCAGCAGCGCATGCAAAAAACTTCTAGACAAGGATCAGCGTTATCCTAACCGTTTGATTATTTCACCTCACATTGTCTCCTCACTGTCTGATCATTGTGGAGGTTTTTTTTTGTACTCTAATCAATGGGAGCCCGCTGCTCCAAATTCTCGCTCTGCTGGTTCCACTCTCACCTTAAACCTTCAGTCCTCGAATCCTCCGATCTCGGTAAGCTCATCAAGCCCCTCTCTTTCTGCCAGTCTCTCTCTGTCTTTTTTTCTCTTTCTTTTTTGGGTGTAAAATGAGGGGTGATAGTTTGCGTAATATTGTCATTTCGGTGCAGAAAATGGGGGCAAAAGTGACAGAAACGCATTTCCCAGTTTCACCGAGTTCAGTTTCGAACAACTGCGAGCAGCCACGTCTGGGTTCTCTTCGGACAACATAGTATCGGAACACGGTGAAAAAGCTCCCAACGTTGTTTAACAAGGGAAACTAGACAATGACCGTTGGATCGCCGTTAAACGATTTAACCGTCTCGCCTGGCCTGATTCTCGCCAATTCCTCGTACAGCCTTTTTTTTTGTTTTTTTAAAGCTTTGTTAAAATGATAAGAAATTACTAGTATATTTAAGAAAATTTTAAAAAATGAATATGGTAAAACTGTAATTAGGAGGAAGCGAGAATGGTGGGGAGCTTGAGGAGTGACAGATTGGCGAATCTGATTGGATGTTGCTGTGAAGCAGAGGAGAGATTGCTTGTAGCTGAGTTTATGCCCCATGAAACTCTTGCTAAGCATCTTTTCCATTGTGAGTCCTTTTTATCTTCTCTTTAATTTTAATGTTTTTTTTTATTATTTTTGGTTGTTAATTTTCCATCTTTTTATTGTCTGGTTAGTGCTAGGGTGCCCTTTTTCCCTTCCAGCATTTTTCTTCAGAAAATGTTCTTTTTCTTCATTTTTTCTTTCGTTTTTGGTTGGCCAAAAATGACTAATGTTGAAAATAAGTTGACCAGATTTGATGTGAGGATATAATGGTATGTAAAGTAGAGTTGATGAACTTTAAATTTGGAATAATCTGTCTGAATTCTTTGTATTTTGGTCTTAAAGGGGAGAGCCAGCCCATGAAATGGGCAATGAGGTTGAGGGTAGCTCTGTACTTGGCGCAAGCTCTGGAATACTGTGGGAGCAGAGGAAGGGCGTTGTATCATGATCTCAATGCCTACAGGATCTTATTTGATAAGGTAAATGTGGTTGTCTGCGACGTAGAATTTACTTTGTGGTGCCAATAGTGTCGGCCCTGATTTTGGTTTGGTGGTTGACAGGATGGTAATCCCAGGCTGTCTTGCTTCGGCCTCATGAAGAATAGCCGAGATGGAAAAAGTTACAGTACAAATTTGGCTTTCACCCCTCCAGAGTACTTGAGAACGGGTAAGGACTGTTTGTGTCAGCATCACAACTTCTGATTGTTCTAAACTGATATGATCTTTGCGTGCATAGATGGACTAGTTACATCTCAATCTGATTAGTCTTGGGTATCAAACGCTAGGGAAAAGGTTGAAAATGGTTAAAAATCATTAGAAATGTCGATGGTTGAAATTATTTCGTAATCCTGGCAGGTAGAGTTACAGCAGAAAGTGTAGTTTACAGCTTTGGAACCTTGTTGTTGGACCTTCTAAGCGGCAAACATATTCCCCCCAGTCATGTAAGTAATTTGCTGTTCTATTGCTGTAGTAACCCATCTTGTTGGTTTCTTTGTCCCTGGTAGTACAAATGAATTATTGTTATTCCCATTTTGATTGATAACCATTTAAGCATAAAAAGTTTGAGGATTTCTCCACTCTTCTCCTTGCTTTTAGGCACTTGACCTGATTCGTGGCAAAAATTTCCTGATGTTGATGGATTCTGCTCTAGAAGGCCATTTTTCAAAAGATGATGGAACAGAGTTGGTTAGATTAGCTTCGCGTTGTTTGCAGTATGAAGCTCGTGAAAGGCCAAATGCTAAATCCCTTGTCACTGCACTTCTGTCACTTCAAAAGGAAACAGAGGTATATAAAATAGTTGATTGAGCTGCACGTCTTTGTAGAGTACGGACAGCATAGTTTTGTCAAAATGAGGCCTGCTTCTGAAAGGTTGAATAGTTTTTGCATATAAGCTTTTTCTTATCTAATATAGTTTTAGCAGGTCCCATCTTATGTTTTGATGGGCATCCGAGAAGAAACTGCATCATCAACTCTGCCATTGTCATTAACTCCTTTTGGTGAGGCATGCTTGAGAATGGATCTCACTGCAATACATGAAATACTGGAAAAGATTGGATACAAGGATGACGAGGGGATTGCTAATGAGGTTTGGCATCTCTTCTCTGTGACTTGAATGGTTTCCTACATTTCATTGCTATGAAAGTTTTTTTTACTAGTCATATCACTATGCCTTATACTAGTCATAACTATGCGCCTTAAGGAGGGCAAGGTCCTATTGTTATATAATCAAATTGTATGTATCTATTGTCGTTTGGGCTAACAGTCTTTGTGTCCATTCTCAAAAACTTAAAAAAAGAAAAGAAAAGAAAAGAAATTTTAGTTTGTCCACCTAGCAATTACAAATCATGTCAACAGTTTTGAATCCTTTTGTTTTTTCTTTGTAGGATTGTGTCGGAATCAAAAAAAATTAAATCCTAGGAACTAGATACCCAGGGCTTTGGGTGAAGTCTTATTATGTTGCTCTGGCTTTAACATGTAACTTCTTCTTTAACTCTGCTTAGCTCTGGATTATTTTTTTTCCTGTAGCTTTCTTTTCAAATGTGGACCAATCAAATGCAAGAGACCTTGAATTCTAAGAAGCATGGAGATGCTGCTTTTCGAGCTAAGGATTTTGCGACTGCCATTGATTGCTATACACAAGTGAGTATCTCATGTTATTGTCAAATATGGAACTTGAATTCTTAGGATGGTTTATTTTCTTATTTAGTTACAAGCAGAGCCATGTTATAAATTAGTTCATGAAGTAATTTTCTATTGGATGATAAATTAATGGGTATAATTTCGTCTTGTTAGAAAAGAAGATTCAGTAAGCAGAGAAATTGGTACCTTAAGAACAATTATAAATCCGTGGTATCATTTTATCTTGTTAGAGATGTAAGTTTTCTATTGGGTTGCTTCGCTGACATGAAGGATCATATTCTACCAACAAAGAACAAAAAATCTCATCCCTTGATGAAGTTTCAATACGTGCCTATATTAAGTTAGGGAAATCAAGCTGGCCAAAGTTCTTGTTATCCCGCGTAGTTTGCTGCTAGCATAATAGTGAAACTTAATTGAACCTCTTCCACAGATTTAGTGTTGAATCTTTTTGTTATAAAATATGGGTTAGTTTTCCTTCTGCATCCTGATGGCGGTAAAACTCTATGTTGGCATGGGTTAGTTTTCCTTCTGCATCCTGATGGTAGTAAAACTCTATGTTGGCTTGTGAAAGGAGATTTAAGTTTTTTCCGTCTTCTGCAGTTCATTGATGGCGGAACCATGGTGTCACCCACTGTGTACGCTAGGCGCTGCTTATCTTACTTGATGAGTGACATGCCGCAAGAAGCTCTAGGGGATGCTATGCAGGCCCAAGTGGTGTCTCCTGATTGGTCCACTGCCTCGTACCTTCAAGCAGCTTGCCTCTTTAGCCTTGGAATGGAGACTGACGCGCAAGAAACACTCAAAGATGGCACAAGCTTGGAAGCCAAAAGAAACAAAAACTGAAAGTGTATAGGCCCTTTTTTATGATTTTCGTTTATTAATTATTGTTTTTTTTTCTTTTTTAGTAATTTTGTGTAGGCTCTTGTGTGTATTCTCGCTTCACATTTCTCCATCCTCATTTTGACCCATTGTTGACATCACAGGATTCTTCAATTATTTTTGTTTGTGTGGATAAAGTATATGCTTCGGCAGTTCAGCCGTTCCTTAATCTTTTGAGTGCAGTAATTGATACATGCAATGCAATAAGAAAATAGAGGAATGTTGATGCTGCAGTTTTCTGTGAGCATGGACTTTGTAGGCTGTCTGTTATTTGATCATGCTCCCAACCAAGAACCAGGTTGCTGGTTAACACTTCAGTCTGGGAATCCGACATGCATGAACCTCTGTCGTGAACATAAAAGGAATAACAGTGGCCAAGACTAGAGTTTAAATAAAAGAGAGAACAGACAGTTATAATGGCTGGGGGATTTTCAAAATGCTTTATGACTACGAGGGAGATAAAGCTCCATGGATCAACAAATATGACTACAAATCAAAAAGTATTTGAGAATATTTCTGCCATGGATCCATCTCCATATGACGAGGCATTGCAGAGAAAGGAACAACAATAACAGCATCTAGATGAATCAATACAACCTCCAAACACCCACATTTTTTTCAAGGCAGATAAAGCTCTGATAAATACAAGCGTACATATGTAGATCAACAAATACCTATGCATACTAAAGGAAAATGTGGACGTATAAAACCCTACAAGGCACTGAACTCTTCCTCATTCATCACACAACAATCTTTGCAAGTTCTTCTAGAATAATTCTGCTTTCTCTATAATTATTTCTTTCTTTCCCCCCTCAAGCCTCTCCTACAGAAGTTTACGAGGATGGCACATTGAAGTGAAAGAGCCAAGATAATACAAATGCAAATACCACACAAGCAAGCAAGAAATTCAGGAAGCGGTGGCCTTGCAAAAAGCTTCGAGTTTCTGTGGTAGGAATTGATGTTGACGCTGCCGCTGCTGCGGTATTTACCATGACATTGTTTGTCTCATTTGAATGCTCAATTGACTCGATGTCACTTGCTAAAACAACATTGCGTGCAATAGAATGACAAATCTCACAGGTCCTGGTACATATCCCGTGAACGGAATAAATATAGGTGAGAAATAAATACCAAAACATATATGAGACCAATTTTCATGGAACTAATCAGACATACCATGATAGCTGCCACAGGATTCGAAATTTGAAATGAAAGTTAAATGCAAATAAATACCGCTCAATGATCATGTAATATGCACTAATGCAACCCCTAAAGAATATAGCTCATTCATCTGTTCATCCGTGTACAACAGCAAATAGCTTAGAACAAAACATTCCCAAAAAAATGGCCAGGAATAGATGCCTGGTCCAGAGATAAGGCTAGCGGGCATATTGTGAACTAGAAGATCAGGTAAAAGACTCACCAGAAATGAGAGAGAGATCTTTGAACATCATATAGTGATAAAACAGCGATTTTGGAAATTTTACCCAGATATACATTGTATGGTTAAAGCTTCAAATACACAGCATAAAGAGAACTTATTCTGATTGACAGACATAGAATAGGGTGATAGCTTAGGAGCCGGAGATACTGCTTTATTACCATTTACCACATCATGTAATAGATGATGAATAATATTTATTCACTATCATCAAATAATAGATAATTTACATTAAACCTCCACAATAGCTATCTACCATCACTTGTTCCAGCACTTTTTTTTTTTTTAATCTTTTTACATCATATAACAGTATTCCAGCAAGGAGAAGTAAGATCCACAGAAGATCCTTGCTACCACTAAAAGTAAGCATCAATAAGCACGTGCTGTTGCTTGAATAAACAGTTTAGAATGTTCAGTTTTCTGATCCAAAACATCAATCAAATCATGTTTTTCCAGGCTGTTGTAGCTCTAGCTGGAAATTAAAGCAATGTTAAATACAAGAGCAGACCAATCAATTGTCCACGTTTAATAAGTTAACAGCGAAGTGCATTCTAACTGATACCAAGATATTCCACCATTGTTTTGAGTATGGTATCAACCAATATGACATTGATAGTCTGACATAGACATGCATGACAGAGAAATACTGATTCTGAAACGCATGGACCATAAGTTTCAAGATTCACAACTATCAGGAGATTTAAGTCCTATGATGCTTAAATCTCACGCACAATATCATGGATGTCAACTATTATTTTTTCGCTAAGCACATCAGACGAACAGGAAGTAAGGAATCTGCATTAGCAATTATACAAATACAAAATATTAAGTAGTGCACCCACAAGTAATTATCTTTTAAAAATGCGTATCAACAAGGAGTCAGAACTCCATTGTGATAAAGAGAAGAGAAGCAGAAAGGAGCATTATTTAGATTCCTAAACTTCTAAAAAGTACAGATTGGCAAGAAATTGTCGGTTAGCGACATATCATTGGGACTGGTATCTTAAAGCTATACTCTTTTGCTTTATTTTTTTCTGTCAACTTGTTTACTAAACCGAAACTCCTTCCACTTTCCCTTTTATTCATCATAATTCTTAACTTCTACATTATGCTTCATATCCCACAAACTAATCAGACTGTAATCCAGTATTCAAAAGCCTTAACTAATGAACCCTCTGTCCTCTCTGGTGAAAAAATATTGTTACTAATCCTTCAAGAAATCCCGCTTCAGTGCAACATTTACACTTTAAAAAAACACATCAACCAACTTAGATAATACTAAGAAGCACGAAGTGGATATTTACCACTTCTCACAAACAAACAAAGTTAACATAATAATCATCATACCAACACTTTAAATAAATAATTTTTGTATTCAAAAGAGCAAAAGAAAATTTACCGAAGAAAAAAAAAAAACTAGAATTCAATCTTGTACTTACTTGTTTCCCTTGATCTTGAACCAAGCCTCTGCACACTGTTTATGAGCAGCAGCCAAATCATCCTTGCAAGAACAACCCAATTCCATAGGAACTCCTGATTCATGACTATTACTCTCTAAACCCAGATGGCAAATCCTACAGTCTCTCTCCACTTTACTCAAATGCACCTTTATTTCAGGCGCCTCATTTACAAGCCCCACCTCCACTGAACAATCAGACACTGAAGACACCCTCCTAGAATCCAAAACCACACTGTTTATACCCTCAGGATCAGAGACACAAGCGAAGCTGTAATTATCATAAGACCCACCAGTGGTTGAATAGAACTGGGAGTAGCAAGAACCATCTTCTGCATCAGAAAAACAACTGGCATCACTTCCAGCAACGGAGCGGCGGTGCGTTCCTTTCTCTAAATCGATGTGGGACATTTCATGAACTGACATTTTGAAGATTTAGACACAGGACGAATCAACAGCTGAAGTATAATTTTGGAAACTTTGGATGGTTTTTTAAAGGAATTTGACATAAATTCAAAGGACTTGATGAAGTGGGTTTTCTCGGACTAGGTGACAACAACAACTGCTACTACGACTCCATTAACGTTACCAAAATCAATACTTTGCAAAGAAATAAAAAAGAGCTAACAATAACCGAAGTAGGGAATTTATTTATATTGATTATATCAGAGAATGTAATACTAAGAGGAAAAAGAAAAGCTTAAGGTCGCCTTTTTCTCATCGCGACAAAACACGGTTGTGGTTTTGTTTTTTAAAAGACTTTTGCTTTGGACTGCAGACAACTGCAGAGCAGCTACAGAGTACAGAGACGGAGGTATGCTTGAAGAATTGCAAGGAGATTCCTTTTTAAGATTATAATACCAATTAAGCGGCGCTACTAAAATTAAATGGCAAACTTTTAATTACCTCTCCAACTATTAATAGATTCTTAATATAGTCCGTAGACTACTAATTTTACAATTTGTGTCTTCCATCTGTAAACCTATCCTTGATTCGGTCCTACCCATTGAGAATGCAAGCCTATACCACAGGCTTCTACCAAAACCCCCTCCCATCACTATTATTATACATATATATATATATATATATATATTAAAAATAATTAGTAAATAATGATATGAAAAACTCAATGTGTTATAATTGATATGTAATGAAGGTGACTATGATAATAATAATGATGCAAATGGTGTAAAAGAAAAGATAATAATGATAATAATAACTGTTTAGTGGTGATGGATGGTAATTATAAAATGATAGTAATAATAATGATAGGATAATAGCTATATAGAATATGGTAATGATAGTGTTAGTGAAAGAGTAATAATAATAACATAGAAGGGTAGGGATAATGACGGTGAGGAGCTAGGACAATGGTGCTAATTAATATTATTTCACCTTTGTATTTATTTTCTTTTATTGAGTACATTGTTAGATTGTGTTATTATTGTGAGCCTTTACATCTAATTTTTATTGGAATGTTTCTATAATTTGTTTTCTCAAAATCCTAATGAAAAGATTAATGTTATAGAATTTCTTTTAACAAATATATAATTTTCAAGTTTTTTAATAAAAAACTAAAATGAGATAGGTATATTTTTTTTATTTTATTTCAAATGTCTATATTTTATGTCATTTTGAATAAGTATAAAGGTCATTGCAAGGAAAAAAAAGAATTTTTATAACGAAAAAAATAATTGATGAATTAGGAGTATAATAATCAAGATTACTTATTAAATTCGTATCCATAGATATTCTAAATAATATAATTGAATTTAACTATGTGATTTAATATTTTATTCCAAACATAATAATTAAAATAGGTTATCAATTGAATTTAAATTTGTTTATAAATTGAATTTCATATGTGATTTTATACAAAATTAGGTGTACTTTATGAAGCATTTAGACATAAACTATGTGACAAGATATCTTTAATAAGCACAATTCTTTCACCTAAAAGAAAATTTAACAAGGTATGCTTAATCAATTTGAGGGTTCAATGAGTCTAAATTAATTGTGGTATGAAAATAACTTGGATGATTTTAGTAGTTTGATCATTTATAAAAAAACTAATTATTTTTAACTAATTGTTATACACACACACTTTCTATAATATAGAGTCTTTATATTGAGAATAAATTATATGAAACTTTTACATATAAAATTTGATTTTATACAAAATATTTTCTCTATTATCCCTTCTAGAATTACAATGTAGAAGTCAAAATGCTTAAATTGGCATGTAAGCAAGTGAACTAAGTTGGAGAGAATCCTTTCATAAATATATCAATCACCTATCTAATAAACACTATAAAAAAAATCCAACAACAATTTCTTTTTAAAAAACCTGCTTATAAATAAAATATAGATCAACTTTTAAATGCTTTATGTTTGAATGACTAATAAGATTGACAATAATGAAAATATTATCATAAAATACTTTAATAAGAAGACAATATGAAATTATTAGAAAAAGACATTAATATATCTAAATTTATACAATTCACAAGTTTCAATTAGTTGCTTACTTTATGCAATTAAAAATAGGGTTAACCAATCAACAAACTAGGCAATTAGTTAAAATAAATCAATAGCTAGATTCTTACATAAATAACCCAATGTGGAAAGAAACTACAATATCATAATCTACCTAAAAACTTTTACTATCAATAATAATAATGGGTACAAAAATTTTCTTATTTAGTTAAAACTAAGGGTTATAAAAAAAATAATCAATAACAATATATTCTTAGAATACATCAACATTAAAAAGAAAGAGTTTAGAAGAATCTCATAAAAGTAACAACTACGCTTTTATAAAAAAATATGCCAACTTAGATACCTTCAATCTTTAATCCAACCATACATAATGAAGGGTTATATATCTAAAACCTTATGTTAAAACTTCAACTCAATCCAACGATGACTCAATTCCTTATCAAAGTTTGAACATAAACTATTCAAGTTTTTTTTTCTCTCTTTGTAGATGTCAACTAACAACTTGAAAATAAGCCAAAACTAACTTTTTATACCTAGTCACATGTATGATCTAAAATACTGTAAGTCTTTGCCCCTCTTTTTCTAGTTTATATAGGTTATAACATTTGAAAAAGGACTATACCTAACAATTAACCCCTTTCCCAACTCATATAAAAGGCTTCACAAAGCCTGTTTGCCTCGTCTAAAACTTAAACATCTTTTTTGAAAAAGGGTTATACCTACTAATTAAACATTTTTTTTTTATCATATGAATCTTCTAAAAAATAATAGACTTCATCTATATAGCATCTTGAATCCATTGATATCTAACATTAATATACTTTGATCGAGAATGAAAAATAGGATACTAATGAAGAAGAATTACACTCTGACTCTTATAGCGCAACATAAAGTTTTCTTGTATTAGGTCAAGTTCATGAAAGGAATAATTCATCGATAAAAACTCTTTCTCCCTTTAAATAAGAGTAATGTATTCAACCTCTGTAGTGAATAATACAATATATTTTGCAACCTTGATTGTCATTAAAATAATTATCTACAAAGGTCATTAAGTATTTCGATATGGACTTTCTATAATTGACATCACCAAATATATCTATATTTGTGTATTTATCCAATACATATTTACCATTTTTGAAACATAAAATAAAATTAGAAGTGTCTTTGAGATATATGAGTATCCATTTTAGCGTTGACCTATGTTCTTTATCAAGATTAGAGAGGAAGCAACCGATCACACCAATAATATGAGTTATATTTGACTTTGTGCAAACTATGACATGCATCAAGCCACCAATTATGAATGCATAAGGAACCTTCTTCATCTCACTTTTTTCTTTATCATTTGAAGAATGCTTTTTAGAATTTAACTTAAAATGACTTGCAAGTAGAGAACAAACAGATTTGGACTTGCTCTTATATTTGTCAAGTAATTTTTAAACATTTTTTTATTGAGATAGCCAAAGCTTCTCATTATTCTTGTCACGAGAAATCTTCATGTCAAGAATCTATTTTATTGGTCCTAATTTTTTCATTATAAAAGATTTATTTAACTCTTTCTTTAAACTCTGGATCTTTTTAGCATCATGACAAAAAATCATTATATCATCCATATATAGTAAAAGAATAATGAAGTTACCATTAGAAAACCTTTTTATAAATATATATAATGATAAAAATGGTCATACAATAACTATTCTCCACTATGAAAGAATCAAAGTTCTTGTACCAATTTTTTTTTTAACTCTAATTTGAAAATTCTTAAAAACATCAAGCTTCTAATCTTTGAATTTTAAATAAGTAATCCATGTTTTCCTAGAATAATTATCAATAAAATTAGAAAAATACAAAACACGTCTAAGAAATTTATAAGTTATAGAGCAAATAACAATATAAATCAAATTAAGAACTTGTGATCTTTTATGTGAATATGATCTTTGAAATGTAACTTTATATTGTTTACCATTTAAATTATGAGTGTAAGTGTTAAAGTTCATACATTTGAAGGAATGTAGTTCTTCTTAAAAAGGATGTTAAGGCCTTTCGCACTCAAATGTCCACGTTGTTTTTTACCATAAATCAATAAAGACATCTTTAATTACATTCACTCATTCTTAATCACCTTCTCTTATGCCATGTAAATAACTATTTTTACCTATATCAATAATAAAAATCCTTTTAGAGAGCTTTCATTTACCATCTCGAAAGTAATTGTAATAGCTTTCTTTATTAAGTATAACTATGGAGATCAAGTATAAACACATGTCTAGCATTTTTTTAGCAACTTGAAATCGGTATTGGTTCTAAACAAATGTATCTAATGCCTATAACACTAGCCATTCTTTAATTTCCAATCCTAACTTGGCCAAAGTCAATAGTAGTGTAAGATATGAAGAAATTTCATCGATGTGTAACATGGAAAGAAACAACTGAATCCACAACTTAAGTCGTATCCTAACATGTAAGATTAACATAACCATCATAAAAAACAATAACAACATCATCGTAAAAAACAAATACAGTTGTACGATTCTCTTAATTCTTGTCTTCATCTTTATCATGTTGTTCTTTTTTGTGCTTTATGCAATCATTTTAAATATTCCCAAGCTTGTCATAATCAATAACACTTTATTCCCTTCTTTAATCAAGATCTCCCTCTAGGTCTTTTTTTTTCTTTTCTATCATCATATTCTATATCTTATTTGCCTGAAAAAGATTTGATTTGGTTTCTCTCTTAACTTTCTATAACAAGTATACAGAACTAAAAAAAACCTACCCTTTTTCTTATCTCTTCATCGAGAATAATGTCGCTCATTATCTTTAAAGTGACCTTTTTATTAGCATTAGAATTACTTAGTAACACCATAAAAGTCTCTTAACTATTCTAAAATGAACTTATTAGAATTAATGCTTGTATCTCATTAGCTAACTCAAGATTTATCAATAAAAACTAATTTAGAAACCCTTGAAAGTCATTTACATAGACTGGACTAACTTCACTATCTTTCTACTTCAAATTCACTAGGTTTTTAAACATGAAAGCTTTATTTTATGCACTTTTGTTAACATTCTTCTAATATTTCCCAAACCTTATAACAATCATGTTCCTGAGAAATATGGTTATTAGAATTAGAAGACATCCATTTTCTAACATTAGCGATCACTTTTTTATTAAGCGTATTCTATTTTGCCACCTTCATATTAGCATGTTTATATTCTATGCATTCTAACAACAAAACCAAATCATTGTATTAAAAGTGGTCCTCTATTAATGTTTTTTTTATGAAATAATTGAAGGAAATAAGCTTTATAGTTGAAGAAAATAAGTTTTATCATTCATTAATC